CGGCTTGCCACATTCTTTGGCAAAGTGACCAGTCTCCTGGCACCTGAAGCACCGTACACCATCAGCATCTTTCCTTTTCATTGCGGGCCTTCGTACACGAGTCTCAATCGAGTATGAACTAACCCGCTGCCCAACTGACTTGGCTTCAGGAGACGGTCTCTCAAAACTATCTCTTTCGAACGTGACAGTCTCAAGATTCTTCTCAGCCTTCTTCTTGGGAACATAGGCGGTTTCCAAAACCAGCGCTATGTTTGGTGAAGGAGGAGGTCGGAAGGCGGCCTTCTCTCGCAAATAGGCCTCGTAGTCTTCAGCCAACTCCACCATCTCGGCCAGGTTGCTGAAGTCACGCCGGCGTACCATCAGCTTGTACTCTGGACGCATATTATTGTAGATTAGGTCCAATCTACCATGCTCCGACAACGTACCGCTACGCCTAAGCAAGGTACTTATGGCAACGACGTAGTCCCGGAAGTGCTCGCCTTCCCCCTGTGTCCTTTTCCGGATCTCCTCATCCAAGTTCCTCCAATATCCTGGTAGGAAGAACTGGATTTCAAACTGACGCCGGAAAGCTTCAAAGGAATATAGGAGCTCCTTGCAGTTCCTGTACCAAAGAAGTGCTGAGCCTTGCAGCAGCTCCGGTAGCGCTCTGAGAAGGTCCTCTGATGATACTGAGTAGGACACCATCAGCTCTTCTAGGCGCTCCAGGAACGACACTGGGTCTCTACGGCCATCAAACTTCAAACCCCACTTTCGGACAATGTCACATATCTTGGAGCAATTCTTCGGCTCCACCCTGCTGGCCTCACTCGAGAGCATACCCGATCCACGTGGCACCTCCACACTAGGTCGCTGCCATCCCTCGGGTCTACTTGCTAACCCAAAGGTAGGCATGGGAGCAGCCACAACAGGGGACATAGGGTTGGCGGGTCTTTCGAACCCATAGCCGACCTCATTACTCGGCGAGCCTCTCGCCTGTCGCACCACCGAGGCCAGATATTCTCGAAGAGTCTGGGTATCAGTCTCCAAAGACAACCCAAGAATCTCTTTGACCGCCTCTAACTCCCTGCTAATTCCCACTACCTGGGCTTGGTCAGATTCCGTATTACCCAGTACCTGAGGTACGGTTCTCGGGGGGTCAGGAAGCTCCACAGTTGTAGTAGCCAGCGGTAAATATGTCGGTGCAGCAGCCCCAACTGTACACAGCCTATCATCGCTATACCGACGGGCATTCCGCTGCTTCCAAAACGACGAGAATCGCTGCCGTAAATCCGCAGAAGTACCAGTGGTCACCAAACCATACTGGTCCATCGTTCTCATGAGCTCCCCTTTCGAGAGGTCATAGATCCAACCCACGCGACCGTCCCGGGGCTGCGACCCCTAGGACATAGTCGCTGGCGCGGAATAGGTCAGAGACGTTGTCACCGTCGTACCCACGACCGATGAAATAGTCCGCCAAACAGGCGCAGACGCAGGCCACAATGACGATGTCGTCATGACCGACAGTTCGGAGCTAACCCCAGAACTAGTTGTAACAATAGCAGACGTGATAGGCGTACCGCCTAGCACAGACGTCGTACTCGTAGTCACAACCATATTTAAAATCCAAATATCACGACTAATCCCCAAAAATAAGAGCGAAACCAATCAAAATATACTTAACACCGTTATAATAAATCAAACCAATTATAGGTGTGAAAGTCAAACCACAAATACACAATAAGGGTTCTCACTCAAATAATATTCAATGATAAAGCTCAATTAATTAGCAAAATAATAAATCAAACCAATTATGGGTGTGAAAGTCAAACCACAAATACACAATAAGGGTTCTCACTCAAATAATATTCAATGATAAGGCTCAATTAATTAGCAAAATTAAAATTACTAATATCTATGTATACAACCACTAAATAAATTAGGGTTCACAACACACCACGCTGTAACAGAAAACAGGTTAGGCCTACCCAACCGACTATAAAATCACAGCAGGTCTGCCTAAAACTCTGCTCAACAGCTCAGGTCCGCAGCCAATCTGCACAAGTCCGTAGCAAATCTGCACGAATAAAATTATTTTGTTCGGGCGCCGTTAATACGTCAGCAACTCAGCACCACTGCCAACCTCAGTCCCTGTTCGGGCGCCATCTTGCGACGCAGCCTTTCTGCACTGGGAAAAATATATTAAAAGTGCAGTCGCAAACGTTTGCCGGGGATAGCTCAGCCTACAATGGCTGGGTAAAGTTCCAGGGTCTGCGACAAGGTCAGGGAAACCACTAGGCCAAAAGCCGGGTCTAACCGGTATAGGACTGGCTCATACACGGGCACTGTGAACAAGTCAAAAACAAGTCACCAAAACAAACGTGCAATAATCACTACCAGGCCTACGCCGATTCTCCACACTCCTAGGGGGTCGTTGCTGACTACGCAACTCGGGCTTCGTCCTAACTATCCAATAGTTAAGCCCAGAGTGCCTTAAACACGGTGAGTTACACTACGACTTGCCAATAAAAACCACAACGCGTGTTATCACCAGGCGGGGTCTACTAGGCCACTATAATCCAATACACAACTCTAATGCCCAAGCTAAGAATCAAACAGATCACTCAATAATCGTACCACATAATAATATACAAGTACACTATGTGTAGAGTGACTACACCACTAGTAGCTGGTCTCAATAAATACCAAGCCAAACAAGCAAAACTAAATGGCAATTGCACTATTAAAATATTGAGCTACTTAGTAGCAGATAAATAAATATTAAATACGTTCCAAACACTAGATAAATATATTATCTGATAGCCGGTACTCCGCTATCCAAGCTACCAAGCTAACGTGTTGGATTACTAAGCAAGCTGTTCAGGTTAGATTAAAATAATTAAATGATTAATCAATACCAACCCTACTGCTACTACCACTACTGCTACTATATCAACGTTATATTGCTTAGCCGGGCTTCTGTTAATAGGCTAATAAAACTAGCTACTAGCCTACTGGCCTCGTGCTTCCAACTACGCACGCTAAATCGTGCAGCCTAGGTTTGTCGGGCCTCAGAGTTATTAGTAATATAACTAACTCTAGGTACAACGCAAAATAATATCTACTACAGTCAATTAAATTATATTATTTGCGCTCTAGCACCTGCCCAGAACCGTCAGGAATACACTTTAATATTATTCCTGAGTAATATAAATCCTAACTACCGTCAGGCTTTGACCAGCACGGTTACAACTCTAACTCTCGCAATCAAAGCAGAGATGAGTGTTTTAGTAACAACTTTCAACTCTTAAAACCAAAAAGTAAGGAACGTCGTCCACTCACCGATAGTGGGTCTGTACCCAACTTACATCAACACTCGGCGCGATCACACCACCAACGTTCTCCGACACCACTGTCACGTACACTCCTCTCTACGTACACCACCGACATATCAGCCAGACACCAACACTCTTCACTGCACGGGATCCACGACTCGAATGTCCGTCCTATACTGTCCTGAAGATCTAGGATATCCCAGGCTTATCGGCACTGATAAGCCGGGTCAAAGGGCGCTCGCTAGCCTCGCTGCCGCCGCTCGCTCACCTCAACAATCGGTGCGCGGCCAAATAGCAAAAATATACCCCCCTAGGGAAAATAACTCGTTACAAGTGTAATACTCTATTGTAGGCTATTGGTGACGATGATTTAAAAATGTAAGTTTCCCAGTCTTATACAACACTGATTTACGGTATTTTTCTCGGTTATCAAAACTCAAGTAGATCATCCACTGCAGTTGTGACTATTTACTTGATACAACAGCCATTGAAACACCATTAATGAGTCTAATACTCTATTGTAGGCTATTGGTGACGATCATTTAAAAATGTAAGTTTCCCAGTCTTATACAATACTGATTTACGGTATTTTTCCCGGTTATCAAAACTCAAGTAGAATTTGATTGACATGATGATTATTTAAATTACAGTTACACATTAATGATCGCGATACACATGTACTTGCGATCAATTAAATCTGTGTTGTAAGTCAAAAGGTCACTTAATTTATCTCACTTTGTTTTCGATTTGATTACAAAATGTGGTTGAAAATGTTCCAGTATTTGTAAACAACATTTAATGTAAACATATCAGTGACAGCTAGAAGTGAGAATCTTAATCCAAACAGCTATTAGTTATTTCATAAATGACGTATGTAGTAAACATTGGAAGAAAACTGTACAAAAATCTCACAAAATTGGGTTTTTGATAGTTTGTTATTTTATTTCCAAAGTAGGGAGGCCATATTTTAAAAGCCAAAAATACTCTCACCAATCCAGTAAATACAGAAAAAGGATTTGAATCGTGATCGGTACTCTAGTTTTCTCGGAGTAGGCCGCACAAATTGACATTTTGGCGTTGCAGACAGAAATTGAGATAAGACTCGTTTCGGCTCTCTTAGGCTATGAAACGTGAAAATAACCAAAAACTTCATGATTCTACGCAAAGTACAGATAAACCTTTAATTTTATTTATATAGATTACACCGAAACAAACTAAAAAATATAACCATTTGCTGCCAGATTTAAAAAAAAATAAAAAATTAACATCTAAAAAACAGAAACCCACGTTTAAAAATATAGCTTTGACATTCCCTTCCTCTCAAAATTATCTTTGCTTCAACAGACGAATCATAAAAATCCGTCTCGTGGTTGATTCAAAATCATAGAATGAAAAAAACCATGCACGTTTTAATATATGAGATTTAATTACTAATTACAATTTTTAAAATGTATAATAATGTATTTAGTTGTAAGACAAAACCATACCATTAACTGACATTTGCATATGTTTACTGGTGATGTATCACAAATTATATAAATTCAGTGTGACAAACATTTGATTCCAATTCAATGAAAAAAAATCTTTATTATAGTTACACACTTATAAGTTAAATTTGTCTTAAATAAAGAGATACGATTCCAATCTTTACTATTGTTGTAATAACATTATCTGTTACTTGTTCTGTAGGTTCTTGTTAATGGAATGGTGTTCACCTACTTTGAGCATCGCCACAAGCCTCAAGGAATCACTCACCTGGAACTAAGAGGAGATGCTCAACTACATGAAGGCTTCTACTACTCCAAGAGGGTCAGTTGAGCACATCAAACATGTTCCAGTATAACAGGGGTGCCCACAAGGGGGGGCTGTGACACAGACTGTGTCATTGAAATTCTTGGGGGGGGTTGCAAAAAATTCAAATGGGGGGGGGGTGGCTAAAGTTAATTGCAACAGTGTTCAACGTGATGACAATCAAAAATATATTACGTCACCAGATAGGAAGTCGATTAATTAATGATAATAGTTATATTATTGAATTCAATTAGTTCTGTGACAGGCCAAATGAAACAACGAAAATGCGCTACGGATAAATTATTTATTATACTTATGACAAAACAATAATATGTAGCTTCCGACTTGCTGTATGATTAATCTACGTTTAGTTTACAAACTTTGAGAAGAAAGAGAGAATACAATTTCGAAATGAGTTTTTTAGGTATACAAAGTTAAGGTACAGATTTTCATGATAAGGTGACGCTACGCGGAAATTTACATGACCGACCGAATTGAATTTAGAATTTAGACTCACTCAACTGAGTGCCTTCCGTCCATCGTCAAGTTGACCGTGGAGGGGCACCAGCCAATCTCGTTGCTATGCCGCGTGACGTCAGCGCAAACACTGGATAGTGCTGCTGCCTAACGATCAATCGGGGCGTTAGGCAAACTGCAGTTGCGCAGTGATTTCATCGAGCGACTTGCTTTGCTGAGCTGGCTCAGCAAATTCCAGCCACGTGCGTTACACTTCCGAGAATGTTGGCCTGGCCTAGCGCTGAGCCACGGCTGATGGAACATTCCATGGTGAGGCAACTGGCTGACACAGAAAGTTGTGAGGTTAACAGTCCAATATTACAGACCCTCCTTTTATATTTGAAATAAAGCAAAGCTCTTGTGACGGTACTGACAGGGTTTCTTGAGGGTGTAGCAAAAACCTCCCCAACTGATATGTAATGGGTCTGGGAATTTATGGGGCCGTCACAGTTCAAATAGGATTTTAGGATAGTTTAGGATTCGTGTAGGAAGTTATTATTCAAGATTAGCAGATCTAAGAGATTAAGATCTAAGAGGGAGGGCACGGAATGGCTCAACTGCTGAGATAGATAAAGATAACGCGTGGTACAGACACGTCCAGCTACACCGCGACTCAGCAAAGAACGCTTTGTAGACATAAAGCTCGTTAAAATACAATCAAGTAGCATAGGCTACAATACTTTACACTATTGTGTAGAATAGGGGGGGGGGGGTAATGAAAAATACAATATAGTATAAAAACAGTTGACCAAACCCATTAAATCGCTGTAAACAGCCATTAACGTCACGATTTGCATTTTTATCAACGAAATTCATTATTGCACAATCATTATTATTGTGCAATAATGACATTTCAAATCATTTATCTTGGTTCAGTTGTACAAACGGCAACGTTTAAAATTATAGCTCACTCAAACTCAACTAATAACTAGCCAACACTGCAATGCTATAAATAACGTAAATATTAAACCTTAGCAAGCGTTATAAGCTACTGCTCATGATAGACAGATAAGCTACCTGTAGTTGCTGTATCACAACATAGGAATTGATAGATAGCCTTTGTCATAAAAAAGTGTAAAATTATATTTAGAGATGATAAAAAGAATGTAACGAGAACAATTCTTTTTCTTTGTTCTTCTGTTCTTTATTAGGTTTCTCTTCAATTCATACACAAATTCAAAAAGTCACCATATTTAGGCCTACTTGTTGCCCAATCACAGCTCAAAGTTACCATGGTTACTAATCACTCAATCACAGTTTACTAAGCATATCGTCATCATTCCCCAGCTGTTGTATCTGAAATATGTTGTAACATAGCGCACAGCAGACAGAAGTGTAAAACAGAGCAGACGATTGTTGAAGCAGGCGTTGAAGTTGAAGTCATTTTTCCATTTCATTTTCATCAAAGGAGCTGTGATGTTTCCAAAACGATTGTGTGGTAGGGAGAGGGGGTCGTTATATTAAGAGAAACACGCTGACAATTTGTTAAGCAGACGTTACAAACGCTATGTAGACATTCTGGCAATAAAAAATTCCTTAAATTGAGGTTACTTATAAAACTGTAATTTTATTTATATAGAAAGATAAGTTTTCCAGTCCTGTACAACACTGATTCACGGTCTTTTCCCAGTAATCAAAATTCAAGTAAAACTTGATACACACAAAATCTCCGGTTTCCGACCTGGATGATGGCTAGTTAATTTAATTTACAGTTACATATTAGTACCTACCCGTGATAAATCAAACCCATTATAAAAGCCACACGGTTATTAATCTCACTTGGTTTTGGATTTGCTTACAAACGTGATCGGAAGTGGTTAGGGTCTACATAGGTGTGCTATTCCCGTCATATTCTGACGTCACTCGGATTGCAAACAAAAGATCACCTGATTGTAACTGTCAAATTAGTATGTATTTGTTTTGATTTGGTTGTTATTGTTTTTATAATGTGTTTTTTTTTTTATAAAAAAACAATAACAATCAAATCAAAAGAAATACAAATAGCCCCAGCTCTTTATAACATTTACACTAACGACCAACCGTTGCCAAACGCTAGACGTCAGTATATATATGCCGATGATACGGCGGTGGCGGCACAAGGTAGGAGTTTTGAAGAGGTGGAACAGAAGCTGACTATGACTCTAAATGAACTTTCTCAGTACTATGACGCAAATCACCTCAAGCCGAACCCTGCTAATACCCAAGTTTGTGCCTTTCACCTAAACAATAGAGAAGCAGGCCGTGAGTTGAATGTGAGGTGGCGGGGAGACCATCTTCAGCATTGTCCTACACCCAAATATCTTGGTGTCATACTGGACCGCACACTGACATTTAAGGCGCATTGTATTGCGACAAAGAGGTAAAGTCTCAGTGAGGAATAATATCAATAATATCATCAGGAAACTCACCAGCAGATGCTGGGGTGCTAACCCTAATGTCCTCAGAGCCTCAGCTTTAGCGCTCAGTGTGTCGGCTTTGGAGTACGCTGCACCAGTATGGAATGCATCGTCACATGCAAAAAAGGTTGACATTGCAGTCGATGACATGGCTCGGATTGTAACTGGGTGTTTGAAACCAACCCCAGTACACAAACTCTATCCTATCGTAGGGATCGCCCCTCCATCAATCCGACGTGATGTCGCTGCCAACGCAGAAAGGACTAAGCAAGAGACAGACCCTTGTCACCCATTACACTGCCACCAACCTGCAGAGCGACGGCTTCGGTCCAGAAAGAGCTTTTTATCACGGACACGAGTCCTGGATGGATCACTCTCAAGCAATCAGGCAAGGTGGGTGGCCACGTTGACTAACCCTCCCATACCAGCCAGGGAGGAACTGGCTCCTGGTGGAGGCCTTCATTACAAGGTGTGGAAGACCCTAAATCGAATCAGAGTCGAGGTACTAAAATGCAAGACAAACATGCAGAAATGGGGTCTCTTACCAGACGAAGAAAATATCTTGTGCGCGTGTGGTGCTGTTCAGGATCCTGGCCATCTGCTGATCTGTCCAGTGTCCACGCCTAGACTAGTCATGCACATTAGATGATCTTTTACAAGCGAATGACAAAGCCATATCGGTAGCTAATTTTTGGAAAAGCGAAGTCTGATTTCCGGATACGGAAAGTAGTAAGTAAAACAAATACATACTAATTTGACAGTTACAATCAGGTGATCTTTTGTTTGCAATCCGAGTGACGTCAGAATATGAGGGGAATAGCACGCCTATGTTACACAGTATTCGTAAACAACATTTATGTAAACATATCAGTGACAGCTAGAAAAATAAATCTTTATCAAAACAGCTGCTCGTAATTTCATATATTACGTGTTCTCTTAACAGATTATTAGTATTTCATAAATGACGTATGTAGTAAACATGGAGAAAAACATACAAAACTGGGTTTTTTGATCGTCCGTTATTTATTTTTTTTTTATAGTGAGGCCATATTTTAACTTAATGGCTAAGGACACTCGCCAATCCTGTGAATACAAGTAAACCATTAGAATCATAATCGGTACTCTAGTTTTCTTTAGAGTAGGCTGCGTAAAATGCCTTCTGGATGGTGACAGACGGACATAAATTGAGATAAGTCATGTTTCAACTTCTCATGTATAAAACATAAAAATAATCCAAAATATGTATAATTCTGAGCAATGTACAGACAAAACTATAACTTTATTTATATAGATTAACTGGGTTTGAATTTTCAATATCTAAAAAATGTATAAAAAGACTTCTTTTGGTTTTACAAATTGATATATCTTCATAAAATACACAAAATACACATAAATTAATTGGTAAACTTTATTGTAGAACTAATTCAACTCAAAAAATAAATGTAAACAATAACAGATAAAAACAACAATAATCATCTGATTATTTAAGCATATGATAATCCTCCCACCTATTAAACTGCTCTTAGTTGGTCACAGTGTCTCTTAAATAACCGCCCGTCTTCTGATTTAACGAGGTACATCAAATGCCCAAGCGGCCTTTCTACTGTTCCTGTTGACCACTTTTCTCCTGAGATGTTTGAGTAATTTCTCATTAAAACACCTTGTCCCTTTGAGAAACTTCTTCTGGGTAGGTTTAATCTCAACCATTTAGTCCATTTCGGTTCTTATGTTTCTCCCAAACATAAGCAAGTATGGAGATTGTCCTGTCGCCGAATGACGTGTCTTCCTTAGCTGTTTCAGTATCATGTTTATCTTATCCTCATTGTGTCCTCCCCCACAAGCATGTAAGAGGTTCTTCACCGTTTGAACTACCCTTTCTGCTTGACCATTAGATTTAGGACAAAAAGGAGCGATGGTTTTATGTGTTATTTGATATTTCTTGAGGTAATTTTCAAACAAAGTTGATGTAATAAACTGAGTCCCGTTGTCTGAAACGAGGACATGAGGAAAACCAAATTTTGCAAATAGTTTGTCAAGTTGTTTTAAGCACCAGTCAGTTGTTGTCGATTTAGTCGGGATCGCCTCTACCCATTTACTGTAAGCATC